AGATACACGTTTAATCCCATGGGCGTATTTCTTCTTTTGTAGAGGAGAAGAAGAACAGGGAAAGTATTGACAAGAATAGCAAACAAATGGTCATAATCAAGTTGTTATCAATTTTTTCTTATTATTCTTGTTTTTTTCAGTTTGTTTTCATTGTAATGAATCTTAGGTGTAGTTAGATCATGGGATTGTTCGATTTTTTTTACAATGAGAAATCAAGAGAAAAGGAGAGGTACACAGAGATTGATTGATAGCTAGTGAGATGAAAGACGGATTCTTTCTGTTTCAAAAAATTCTCTTCACACGTAACACAAGCAGTTGACCACTACTTTCAAAATATCGAGTGCTAGATATACTCTGCTACACCAGTACAAATATTTTTTTTGACTTAGTGATTATGTAAGATGAAGAATGGAAAATAATTGTTTTTCAAACACAGTTACTACACCCTTTTTAAAAGAAGCAGAAGTTTGCATCTCTCTCTCCTCAATCTATTATTCCACGGTCACTGAAAGTGGGAGACATGAAAATGCTGGCTGTCTTTCATAGTTGTATCTCCAGTGTTAGATGTGATGACAGGGTGAGTGATATTGAGATCAAGTGTCGAGTTTTAGGTAAAGAGGACAACTCGCTCGACGAAGTTGGGAAGTTATATCAACTGAGATGATGAGGATGTTTCTTACGTATGTCTAGCCACTGCCTTCCCTGATGAGCGATGTTAGCTAACATAGGATCAGGTTGAAGAATGGCTATTGCTGGTCAAACTAAAACTTGGAATCAGTCCATGAAATTTTCAACAGTTAGTCTGAACCAAGTAGGAAAGTGTAGGCTGCCTGGTTAGGGTCTCCGGGATCCTAAGAACTAATGGCTGTATACAACTGGTGATATGGCTCGAAATCGTTCTCAATAGAGCAGGTGCATCCACACTCTGTATTCCTCCGTATCCACTAAACAGTCATATTTTGCATGTTACTAATCTTTCTCCATCCTATTTCCGGTTAATGTAGTACTCTGAATCCCTTTTTCTTACCTCTTTTGTCTACATTTGTGTACTACACGGAATATAGCCACTCGAACTGCTACACTTCTGTGCAAAGTTCTGTGCTGATACCAGTCAATCAATATTATTCCACTGCACTTCTGACTTATATTATATTGCATTATTTTAAATAATTATATATATATATATATTCTTAACCAGTAGTTTACAAATAGAATATTAGAGTTATTATGACTTTTCATAAGAGTTACTAGAGCCTGAAAAGAACTAAACAAATATTTTGGAAATATTCATAAGAAGATGGCCGTTATTGAATCTGAGACCTAGTGCGAGAGTTTGATCTCTCATTGATATAAGAATAAAACTTGTGCACTGTGGTAGAGTGTAATTCCATTATGGGTAAATTTTTATTTTGATAGAGTCTCACAGTGTTATACAGTAATATTTACTGATGACGTTTCGAGCACAATTTATTGCTCATAATCATATCAAGGTAATCACACGACTTCCTAAATTCATTTATATAGTTCCATTGTTTTTCACTTGATTTGATTGGTAGTAATATTTCCCATATTTCGGGTATGAGTGATGAATCATTCCTATTGCATGTGTTGGGTGTAGATTTGATGAACAAGGATTAAGTAATCAACCTCTCTCTCCACCTACCTAGATTACTTTTTAGAATTTTAACCCTCTCCCACCCTATTGTGTGATTGTGTGTTAATGCATGCATTGCAATTGCTGACCTTTTTTCTAAATTACTTTGATCTCTCTGTGACCACATTACTACCTGGTGTATAATTTGGTATTCCGAGATCTAATTAGTTCCTCATGTAACGTGAATGTTACAGAATATCATTGGTGAGTAACAGTCTTCACACCCAACTTGGTAACTGCCTTCAAATAAGCATGAACCCGATTTATATAACAGATATAGCGATCTAAGGTTGGAGATCTCGGTAGATTAGATTTCAAATTAATAATTCCCCGACCAGTTGAATTACGATATGCAGCTTCGAAAATGATTCACGGTTTACTTTATTGGTGAAAATAAAGAAGTAAGTGGCATGTTACCACATCTGGATGTGTATCTGCTGAAACTTTATCGGTTGTGTATTGTGTTATGAATTTATTTTAACCATTCCACTTATGAGAACGAAATAAGATGCCCAGCAGTAAATGAAATTCTTACCAGTTACTAGATAAAAACCGTGACATACGAAGTTCTGCTGGTCACTTCTAACACTCTATACAAATTAGTCATCTATCGTTTTTACTTATATCAATATTTCTCCAGTTCAACTTTCCTTTTGCCTTCCTTAGTCATTATTCCTGAAATTTTCTCAACTCATCTTATGTTCTTCTTCTCCACTTTATTACAAACTATTGATTAATTTATTTCCTTATTTCTTTGTATCAAAATTGTTTAAGATGTGGGAATTTCACTATGGGAGATAACAGATGTTCAGTAGTAATGTTAACAAAGTTTTATTTTTTCACCTATTAAAGGAAAAAAGTATCTTTCCATCAATCCTCTTTCACCTGAAGAACCAAATGAGTTGTATTGTTCAGCATAGTATAGAACTTGAGTTGGTCTTACAAGTGAATAAACAGGGGTAAGTTAAAAGTAGGCAACTAACTAACTAAGTAAGCAAGTAAGTAAGTAATTCATTGCCGTGACCAAGAACAAGCGACTGTCTTGTTTGTATACCGTTAATGATTTCACTCCCTCAGTTTTATGGCTCATCCTAATCTAGTCAGTGAGCAGTATTGATTACTTGTGTGTTTTTGTTAATGGAGGTATGTTTTAGCTGCATAGTTCAGTTACACAGTGTTATATCACTGACACTGTGAACACTAGATGCTCTATCGTAACTGAAGTAGTATCCTTTTATTCATAGTTTCCTTCCAATTAAAATTTGTATTTTCATAATTTAAAGGTAAAGCATACTTAATAATTTTCAACCTATTCGGTTTTTATATTTGTTTCAATGTGTCATAAAGGTTTTCATTGAAGTAGTCACGCCAAATACTTTCAAAGAGGGCATGATTCAAATTAGAGACTTCTAAATTACCACTGTGAAATTTCAGAGAGTAAGTCACGTCAACAAGGTGTTTAACTATGGTTGTTAATGTGTTCACTATTAGAAGATATTCACAGTGAAATGTGGTTACAAGATGGATTAAAACTTAGCGGGGTTTTCATGAGAAAGATAGATAAAGAATAAAATCTCCTTTGCTAAGACAAGAAATGTATCATTGTTATTATTGCGAAACTATAATGCTACATTAATAAAGTGTGTTGATTGATTTCTGTTAATTCTAACTCAGTACTTTATCATAAAAATTCAGAGCAGACTTATTTCAAAATTGTTTATACGTTCTAGTTCCAGGGTGGAGGATAGAACTGGATCCTTTATTTGAATAAATAGGTTTTCAAAATTAAATTCTTTCTTAGACAACTAGACAACGGTCCTTTGAACAAGTTTATCATAAAATTGTCATTTTATTACAGGTATATGGATGATACCTTCATCCTTTTTCAAAATGATTCGAACAGAAACACAATAACTGACTCAGTTCAGTGAAGTACAGCTCGCTATCAATTTCACATGTGAAGAGGAATCCCGAAATAGAATTGCCTCCCTAGATGTCCTTCTTACAAGAAAATCAGGCGGTAGTTTAAAGAGAAATTCGCATAGGAAAAGCATATGGACAGGACAATATATATATTTTCAGAGCTATGTTCCTCTCCAGTACAAAAGCGATTGAATAAAGACACTCAGCTACAGAGTCAGAGCTGTATGCTCAGAAGATGTAACTGAAGATGAACTTAGCATTGTATATGATACCTTGATTGAAAATAGCTATCCAAATAAATTCATCAGGAAAAATATGACTGAGAAAGTTGAAAAGGACTATTCGTTATCCGTAAACAAGAAGCCTCTTTATATACGACTGCAATTCAAGGGCGATATGTCTAGCGAAATAATTACGAGAAAGTTAAGAAATTCATTTCAAAGAACTTTTAATGCTAGCAAACTACAATTCTTATTTTCTACACAACCAGTGGTGATTCCCCAATTCAAAGATGAAGTGCCTAGCCTAGCCACCTCTAATTGTATCTACAGATTCAACTGCGCTTGTCGAGCCAGTTATATTGGCCGTTGTTCTAGGAACTTAATTTTTCGTGCTCGAGAACGTCTCCCAGTATGGCTAAGTAAAGGTGTAGTAAAAACCATCAACAGTTCGATATTAGACCATCTGGTCCAAACTGGCCACATCACCAGCATTGAAGAATTCTTCTCTATCATCTACCATGTACCAAATAAATTAGCAAAAACATCGAGGTACCACATGCTCCAAACATCAGAGGCTATTGCAATTTGCGTGAAACAACCGGTGCTGTATGTGCATGAGAAACAGGTCGTACCACTACTACTACCCTGGCCTTCAGTGGGGATTATAAGTTCATGAATTCTGTATTATTATTTTTCCTGATTTGTCTGATATTCAATGTAGTGCTATGTTGATGCGTACTATCACACTTATAGATGCCACTGAACTGTAATCTATCGTTTTTATCGATTCGATGTTATTTAAACAACACTAATGTTGTTAATAACCCTAAATCATCCATTATTATGGATATATACACCTGTAGAACCTGATGAAGAAGTTATCGAAAAGAATATTCTTTGTTCAGTAATGAGTCTTTTAAATTAATCTTTTATTAATAAAATTGAGGATGTGCTTTTTTCTATGTTTTCGACTGGCTTGCTGAGACACAGCCTGGATTTCATTCCTACGTAGCACCAACCGAAAGTCACTGTCAACAACTCAACAGAAACTGAGTACTTAGGTTCAGTAAAATCAGTCTTCAACTACCAGTACAGCAAAGAATACGTGTCAGTTTCAGTGTGGAATGAGACTTTAATAAAAATTAAAATAATGATGAGATTTAAATTGTTAGAAAATAGCGAAATGGACGCGGAACACTCACTTGCATTGTTTTGTCATACCACCGATTAGCTGCATTAAATTGGCTTCCCATTCCGTGTAACAATTGTAATGCCAAGGAAATGTCATCTCGTTTATTTATATTATTAGCATCATTTGATTCAGTTAAATGTCCATTAATCTCTGTTGTTTCATCGAGTTCTTCAACTGGAATTATTGGTTTATCTAGACATAATACAAACATGCTTTTCGCTATTGTCTTCAAGTTCTCTTTGTTCTCAGGATCTGGTGGGAAAATGATTTTAGAAAAAAAAAGCAGAGTATGAGAAGATGGAAAATGTACTTTGTTCAGCTTGTTTTAATGAGGATTTTTGTCGTTTTGGATGTATTAAACTATTCATTTGCCTGATACGATACAGATATGTGGTAGGAGGTTTGTAATTTGTAAAGCCTGCATAGTTCAGCAACAATCACATTTATAGTCTGTTTGACCTGAATGTCTAAATCTTAGTAGGCCGATCTGGTTTAATGCCAACTTTATAGAAAACATGAATACCAGCTCCAATGGGAAGACAAACAATTGGTTTTTTTAATGATTACTGAAGTCTGTATGCAACGTGTAACTAAATCCAGAGGCAGGTTTCATGAAAATGTGTAGTATTGATTGATTGAGATGAATAGTTCTAGACCACTCATATTATCCAGTAGTTCTCGATAGCCAGGTCGAGGTTATCTAAACACGAGACAACAGTTTCACTTGTTTGGGGCCGAGCTGATCAGCGGTGCACCCAGTTTAACGCAGCTCAGAGAGCCGAATAAGTCTAAACCATCCTGTTTATGGATAGCTGCTTGATCAAACTAGTGATACCATAGATGAAATTCACAATTCGCAAATTCGTTAGCAATTTGCAATGTACACAGTTTGAGTTCTATGTCTTAACGGTGACAACTTTACTGTGGAACATACTTCCGTATGCAGTACAAAGTCCTCAGTGTGTTTTATTTATTCACGGAACAAACCTTTAAGCGTAATAATAGCCTGCAATATGTCATTTTACCAGGTCTTGTTCATTCAGAAATATAGTGCTTATATCCAATCATGCTTTTCATTATTATTATTGTATCCTTTAATTCCTACAGGAACATAGGGCTTCAGCCTCACGTCTCCATTGCGTCCGGTTATCCGCCGACGTCTTCTCCTGGCTTCACGTCTTCCCACATGCTTTCATCTCCTCTTCACATGGCCTCCTCCAAGTCACCCTTAGACGAACAACTCTACGCTTCCCTTTCGGGTTTCACTCGAGCGATGGCCTGGCGTGTGATGTCACTTGATAGTTTCTTCAGAGTATGGCCAATCCACCTCCATTTCTTCCTGCATATTTGTTGCACAATTGATTCTTGGTTGGCTTGTTCCTAGAGATCCCTGTTGCTGATTTTTTCCAGCCACCTGATCTTGATTAGTGTTGAGCGGAGACAGCTGTTGATGAAGGTCTGTAGTTTGTTCGAAGTGCCCTTCGTGACGCGGCACCAAGTCGCTCATCCTAATAGTAGCACTGACTTCACATTGGAGTTGAAAATCCGGATGTTATTTTTGATGCTGAGTGTTGTTGACCTCCACACAGACTTGAGAGTAGTGAAAGCTTGTCTTGCTTTTCCGATTCTTGCGTGGCATAGCGGTTAGGACGCTTTTCATCATATTGTTCAAAAAATACACGTTGAAAGTTGGCAAAAACCCATATGAGTACAAAAACCTATTTAAGGAAGTAAATGCATTTCTGCAAGAAAGTGATATAGAGTGGAGCTGTATGAGGGATGGTATTGTATTTAGCGGCGAAATTTATTAATTTAGCATTACATAGCAGTCCAACAAATAATTTTGTTTGAAAAGGCTAGACTGAATATGTTTCGCGTATTTCCATATTAATTAATCCAGCTTTCAGTAGAATTCACGCCTTCATAAAAAAATACAGTTATGTCGATAAGTACAACTGATGAATCCGAAAGTACAGGGAACCAATTCGAATGGATTCTTTATTCTGGTTGATCTGAGCCACATAAGGAGCTTCAGACCGCCTAACGCTAGAAATTAATCGTTGGAGACTGCTGATGATATGTTGTAAAATCATTCTCATTGGCAAAGTTGCATTCAGTACTGCTTATTATCTTCCACACTCTGGAAATCCGCATTATTCCTCCCTCTAAACGTCTTGGTTTCTCTTAATTTCCTTACACTTCCTTCCTGTATCTTGTGGTGTGTTGCCTTGTGAGTAGTGGCAACTTGAACTTCCGTGTTTCTGTGTGGAAATCACAGAATTCACTTCATGAGCCAAGTTATTTCCCCAACCTTTTCACCATTTTATCCAATAAATTCTTCAAAGTTTCAGTGTTTCTTTATAGAATTAGACGTTTTATGAGATATGCATGTAAATTTAGAACCAGAAATTATAATCTCTATTTACATATTCACAGTTAATGAAATAATACAATTTTAGAAACACAGATTTTTTTCAGTTTTCCTTTCTTTTAAACAAATTAAACACGATAAATTAAAAACAGATAATATGCATTACCTTCACAAAGATGTTCATACACTTCTGCCCATTTATTTCTTGGTAAAGCAGTTAATGCACCAACTCTCGGTTGCGCTTCCATATCACTTTCACCAGCTATAGCTTCTTCAGCGAATTGTGTAACACGACGCAATTGATTGTATATATCTTCTTCACTTAAACGATTACCATTGGAGATGACATCAATGACGAATAACTTGAAAAACAAATTATTCGAAAAAAAGTATTTATATAACCTGTAAAATATGTAAATCAAACATTAAAAATTATTATTTTGAAAAAGAATGAAGTCAAGTTTGATTACTGCAAGATCACACGGTCGAAGTAGGTAACTTTCCTTCTCTCTCTCTCTCTCTCCTTCTTTGTCTTCCAACTATTTGATCGCATGGAGGGTTTCATCATGAGCTGACATCAGTTAGAGAACCACTGGAAAACCAGCTGGGAGTACTGGACAGCTGTTTCGTCCTAGTTTGGGACTCTTCAGCAGTACGCGCCCAACGGGATTCGAACCCAGGACCTTCTGGTTACGAGGCGAGCTCGTAGACCATTGAGCCACTGGGACCCGATCCAATGGTCCTTGAATTCTAACTTCTGCCAATTCACGACATAGCGCGACCATTTCGCAATGTCTTCTTCGTGAGTAACTGTCCTCATCTTCGACCTGCTGTACCCTACTGGTCACGGCTTCCCACTAGAACCCCAGGTTAACTGCCTGAATAGGGCCAGTCACTAGTGAGCATCAGATTAATTTGCAAGTATTGGTTTGTAGGGATTTGGTTTGATTGCATGGAGGGTTTCATCATGAGCTGACATCAGTTAGAGAACCACTGGAAAACCAGCTGGGAGTACTGGACAGCTGTGATCACCTTACAATTGGATTAATCTACTGAGAGAAAGCTATCTAAGACAACCAGAGCATTTAACTTATTTTTGCAGTCTCTGTGTTCTGAATGGATGATAGGGCTTCTGGCTTTCGAAATTTCACTAGCACTGGTGTGATTTTTGCAGAGTGGAGCTCCTAGCTTTAAGCTATGAAAGAGCTTCATACGCTTTATACAGCATATTTTAAAAATTTAGTAAGGAGTGAATCAAATGTTGTTAAGAACGCCACATATTGTGAATTGATTGTTTTGGGTTTCCAAATAAAACTGCGTGAGTCTAGAGGCTATTTTATGCACTACTGTGAGACAACATCTATCTTTTAAAAACTGAAATGTGTCACTAGGCTGCATAAACATATCGAAGAATTTCATAAACAGTAGGGATAAACAGTTATTGATATTTTCATTTTCGTTTGATTGGTTGGCAGATTTCATCATGAGCTGACATCTGTTAGAGAACCATTGGAAAACCTGGGAGTACTGGACACCCGTTTAGTCCTAGTTAGGAACTCTTCATCAGTAGGCAGTTTAATGGTCTACGAGCTCGCCTTGTAACCAGAAGATCCTGAATTCGAACCCCAGCGGGTGCGTACTGATGAAGAGTCCCAAACTAGGACGAAATGGCTGTTCAGTACTCTCAAGTTATTGGTATGTTACAGAAATAGAAAGGTAGATAAGCAGACACAGTTGAATACCAACGTTCTCCTCATTATTGCTACTATGGAAAAAAGCAGCCAAAGGATATTTCTTCTCTCTCTCTCTATATATATATATATATATATAATTGATTTGGAGTTTGATAAAACACTTTAGAATGCAATCACTTTACTCTTATTTATTATTGCAGCACGGAACGACGTTGATTCGAATTCACGAGAGGGCTTCAATCCCTTCAAGGTTGCATACATACCTTGCTGACAAATGTCAGTAGGTAAAACACCAGCTAAAAGTCCAGGATATATGCTCCCTCCTATTTGCTGCTCACCAACTGCATGTATGCGCATTGCAAGTGGCTGGAGATGTTCCCACCGAGACTCAAACCTAGAACCAATTGTGTTGAATGCTAAAGCGTTATCCACAAACCAGATGAGATCCACAAACTGTCTCTTATGTAGTGGATATCATTCCAGATCACTATAATCAACCAGCGGGAAATTTGAAATCATTTAAATAAATATTTGCCATTTCTTTGAAAAGCTGCTGTTTTAACACACAGAAGTTTCAGTTAAAAAAATAAAACTTGAATGAGAGTTTGAATTGTGCTTATTCTATTCACCAAGTTTTAAATGATTTCAGGGGTTATTTTTAATGATAAGTATTTATGTTTTTTAGGAGGTATAATATCCTAACAAAGAAGAAAAAAAATAAACGAGTTCAGATACTTTTTGTTTAAATCTAATTTTACAGTGGTATAATGAACTGCCTAACATTAAACTTATTATCTCATCAACATCATCTTCAGCATTCTCATCAACATAAACTGTCTACTGGGTATTATAAAATCTACTTGAGAGTATGGTGACCCATATTGCTCCCAGGGGAAGAAAAATGATTCGATAGGCGAAATGAATAATAATAATAATAATCAAAATTTTCTTTAGAGTGAAATCGATAATGACGTTATGGTTTTCAAGTGTATACATATGTGTATGTGTGTGTGTGTGGAGGTGGGTGGGTATGTGCGCGTATTAATATGTGTGTTTGATGTTTGCCAGTAGGAGATAAATATACTGTTTACTAGGTATATTTACAGCTGCAAAATTTACAAGAATCAATAGAGTTCTGCTGGTGCTAACTATCAAAAAAGGAAGTTAATTGCATTCTGAAACAAGTTAATAGAATGTGAGTCAAAGTCCAAAAATCTGATTGACGACATCTCTGAAGTTGTTTATGTGAATTTAAATCTCTGAAGCAGTCATAGTCTGTCTTCAAGATTATGAATCCTGTTATCTATTCCTAGCAGTTAGGAAACTTGGTTTTAAAGCTTCAGTGTATTTTCTTCGAACTATTCATTATGTGAGTGCGTCGGTGGTACAGCGGTTAGGACGCTTGCCGACCATACACATGGTCCGGGGTTCGATCCCCGGCCACCGACGCACTCCTTTACCTCGCTCAGCCAGTAATAAAAGCTAGTAAAGAGGAAAGGTTGGGCATGAGGCTAGCAACCCCATCCTGTAAAAATAAACACTGCTACAGAAACTTCAAGCCTCTAGCTTGGAGCCCTATGTTCCACTGGGAACGTGAAGGAATAAAAAAATTCATTGTGTGAATGTTGCAACAATGGTAAATTGTCGGGATAAATATGTACTTATATTGGCAGCTAAAATGTTTTATGGAAGAGCCATGATGCTATCACCAGTGTTAATTTAAAGACATTAGAATATGTATCTCAGAAGGCTCCAGGATACTGGAATTACTACTAAACACAATAAATGGTAGAGAGCTATTCAAACCAGTCAGGAGTAGTTGTTACCAAAATGGAAGTGATCATTTTTCTTGTAAGCAATCAACCATCCTTTGGTGAGTCAAAATGGTTTCAGGAAGACTGAAAAATTACGAAACTGTTCTTAATTTGCCTAAACATTTATCCTAAATAGCAATACATGAAATTGAAACGAGTTGTCTCAAAGAGTCATCATACACAGTTTGTCTTCGTAACAAAAGAATCACATCAAACCTAACTGTTAAATGTTTTACTGTTTCTCTAACCGTATAGCATCAATCACACTATAATTTGTGCATAGCAGAGTAAATTACACATTGATCTTTTTTTGAACTCGCCTTGGTGACCTCAATGTGACAAATGTCTGATCCCACTATACATTGCACACAGGTATTTATAAATTTTTCATTATACGAAGAAACAACAAGAATTGAACTTCTTAACACTTACTTGATCTAAACAGATTACAATTATATGCTCAGGATCAAATGGATCACGTTCAGATGTTGTTACAAGCATATCTTTTGTATGCCCCGGATAACGATATGAACTAAACAACCGATAGTATTGTTCCATGCATAATGGTTGACCTTTTTTACTATGTCGAGCTCGGTCTGTTGGAAGGGAGCGCCTGTAAATAAAAAGGTATAATTTATTAGTAATAATAGACTTCATTTACCAACAAAAATCATTCCTTATTTTCGTTATGAGGTAACCTAATTTGAAGAATATTAGTAAAAAATGCCACATATAATGTTTAAATGAGTTACAGAAATATTCTGAATTTAGAAAACCGGTCCTAACAAAAAGACGTCGCTTGCACAGTGGTAGAATGCTCGCCAACCACGCAGGTGGTTCGGGGTTCGATCCTCGGACACCGACGCACTCCTTTACCTCGCCAGACCAATGATAAGAGTGGTAAAGAGGTAAGGTTTGGCATGAAGCTAGCAACCTCATCCCGTAAAAATAAACGCCACTGCTACCGGAACTTCAAGTTTCTAGCCTGAAGCCCTGTGTTCCACTGGGAACGTGAAGGATTAAAAAAAGACATTACTGATGACAAACCTTTGATAAATTTTCATTTATTGACTGAATTATAGTTGTAATTAGCTTTCAACTCTGATTCAGTCACTTACATTTTCGGCCAGTTTTTATGGGAATAAGTGACATATAACTTCTTATTCAATGTCAACACACTAGCTGCGTAACCAAGTCTTCGCACTGTAATTTTAATATTACTCAATTGAAGAGGAGAAGCTACTGACTCATTGTTATTTGAAACTATTCACGATATTCTGAAGTAATCGAAATGGCAGTGGAGATGCCATTCATTGGCTAAAGTAATTGACTTCCTGCTAGTGTGCTATGTATTCAAATCTCACTTCATCTAATTTAGGTTGGGCAGCTGAGTGGAATCATAAGCCCATGCACAATAAATATAGCTCATAGCCCTGTACCAAGTAGCCAATGTAATGGTAAGTTTAGTCGTTTGTGAAATTCATATCATCAGTGGGATTTGAGGTGTCAGTCACGTGAATAACACAGAAAAATATCCTTATTTACTTGACTGTTGAACTTTATTTAAAATTAGCGATATATATATACTACTGAAAGTAAACAAGTGGAAGAAGAAAGTAGGATTCTAATATTTCGTAGTGTTTGTGTAAGGCGTACTGCTTTTCACTGAAAAAATTCACTCCGAATAGGAAAAAACTGACTCAGATGAAAATAAGTTAACGAAAAAATTGAATAAAAGCTGACTAAAGGTTAGATTTTTAACAAAAAACCTTCGGTGGAATTCAATAATGAAATTGAAAAAGACCAACAGATAGTGGTGAGATTATTTTGCTAGTGTTTTTTTTTTGCGTGTTTTTTTTTGAGTGAAAGAAGTGGAGAAAAGAACTGGTGGTAAACACGAAACGTAATTTGATATTTGTTCAAAGTTATATATATATATATATATAATCTAGGAGGGGATGGGAAAGAAATCTTGAAATAAGGATAGAAATTAGATGAACTTTTGAGGTGGAAGCAGGTCAACAATGTTGAATTTCTGCCTTTCTGCTTCGTCTTCTTCTTCTTCTCCTGACTCATTCAAGCATGTACACTGATACTTGACCATGATATTCGTACACAAGCAAAAAGAGTATGTAGGAACAAAGTACACACACACACACACATTATATATACACGCCTACACACATACGCTTCGTGTTCCCTGTCACAATGTGAGATTGCATTCCTATGATATATGATATGTGAGTGAATATTTAACTAAAGAAATATTATTTAGTAAAAACTCCTGCATAGTTATAGCTGTCTGCAAAAGTTATTTTTATTTTCTTCTCTTCCTTATATGATAAAGTTATCTTTTCCACTTTGTTTTTCTGCTTAGTGGTATCACGCAGTTTAATTTCTCAAAAAGTTTAGTTAACACTTCAACAGTTGTAGTAATCAAAGCAGCAGAGAAGTTAGTAGTAGTAGTATTATTATTATAGTGTGAATAGTTGGGTGGCAAGAAGGGAATAAGGCGAAAACAAAATGAGAGATTGGAAAGCTGCTTATTTCTCGAATTTCGACGAAAAAACAAACAAATTGAATTCAGTATGCTTTTTTTTTATATTTGTCTCATTGCCATCTCAATTTCTCTCTGGTGACTTTCAGATTTCGCACGTTCTCCATCTGCTTTTGTGGCTTTTCTCCATCCTTTTTTTATTTGTTTAACACAAACAAACGTCATAAAAAATGGCACGGAAGAGAAACCAGAATTCAGTTTGAAAAACATAATTTTTGATATAATTTTTTAAGGCTAATATTGATAAATGAGACGACAGGTTTATTTACTTCAAGTCTGAAAATATCATCTTTGCATCCGTAGCCATAAAAAAGAGGTCAAAAGGCATGATATGCAATCTGTCATATCGCTTCACACGGCCAATTACGGACATCAAATCAGCTGAGAAAGTGTAAAATTCTAAGACAGAGGGGACAGAAAGAACGCTAGAGAATTTCCAGAGGCCTGGTACTAATATCAGTTTGGAATTAATAGACATGGTGTGATAAAGATCAAACTTATGAAACAATAAAATATGAGAACACAACTGAAAGGTCGAATATCGGGTCGACCAATAGAATCAGTATCCATCTAAGCAAATGCAGTAATACGGAATCATTTGGGAAGAACAAACCACAATGAAGGTCACCAGGAAAGACACACGTGTCATTCATGTAGCATTCTTAGGGATCACTTTGACTGAATTTAGAGCTGAAGTTGTTGTCGATAAGGTCAATGAGAGCTTCTAAATCAAACCATTCAGCTCACATAATACAGTAATGCCGAAAACAAACACCTCAGCTATAAAACTTCTTCCATCCTCTATTCCTCATGCATTCTTTCGATGAAGTGATCAGAATTTTGTAACTTTAGAAAATCAAAGTGCTGTCTTTGTCAGAGATAAGATTCATTCCTCATACCATAGGTTTATGAAATCTATAACTGTGTTTCTTTAGAGTGAGAAAGCAGACAAAAGACACTGACTATTTATACTTTATTGGTTTTATTATTTTAAAAAATGGAACCATCTGAGAGTTTTGCTCTTTTTCAAAAAACAGGAATTTTAATAACTTTAATTGAAGTAAATCACGCAGAAAGATTAAGTGTATTTGGTCTGGAAATAAAGTCATGTCTTACTGGGATTATTAACAAGCCAAACGGAATCAAGGGAAGAGCAAATAAAAAATTCACATTTTAGTTATTTCCGCATTAATTCTTACATTCTTTAATGACTCTACTACTATTACAGAGTTGGATAATGCAGCCAAACTTCCTCAAAGGAAATTTATGATATAGACTGTTGAAAAAGTAATCTGGAATTTGTTCGAGTGAAATATGCCGAATGTTAACCACTGTGAATTATATAACCATGGCTTGGTTTCAAAGGTACTGGTAATCTGTAAGCTACAGCCTTCCTTAGTCAGTGATATGTTGAATGTACAATGCATCTATATCCCTGATCAACCAATTAAACAAACAACCTTGCGAATTCACCTGAAATCATTCCATATATATGTTACATTCTTTCTGGTATCATTTATGTACACACAAGGAAATATACACACAAATCGGAAAGTGAATGATAAAGATAAAAGTTCATGATTCCATAGAAGTAATTTGCAATGGTAGGATTTGTTACTGGTCATTGAGGGTCAGTCGACTGCCGAACCTGCTAATCACTGTTATCATGACTGTTGACAGTAGGTTTTCTGCTTCTATCAGCTTAATGAGGTTTAGGAGTGCTTCAGGCAGGGAATAGAACCCTGAACCATGTGTGTGGTTGTCAAGCAAGCTAACAGTGAACCACCGATAAGTATTGTGATGATTGAAAGAGTCCTTCCTATCTTATCAAACGATAATATCAGTCAGAAAGCGGTAGAATAAGAAAAGGGATAAGAGAAAGGTTGGTGGATTGTGTGTAATACTTTATCAAAACTTCATGAAAAAAACATGTTTCAGTATCTTCTACAGAAATAGTTAACACAATTTAGAAAAAAAATTAATGCAAGTTGAACAGTCCACGTTTCCTTCAATTTTTTTTATATATTTTCATTACTAGTCCCATATCAATTGTCGATTAATACATAAACTCACGTGTCTAATATTGTTTTGTAATCTAAAATTCCAGAGATAAGTTGAGCAGCAAATCTAAATTTGTAAAGAAACAAAAACACATAAGTGATAAAATTAACCATGAAACAATGGCACAATGAAATATGTTCATTTCAATAGTCTGAATTATAACTGTCAGGGATACAAATGTCTGAAGACTGTCAGTCTTTATTCTATTCATATGTGTTTATTATTTATTCAAATGAAATATATGCCAGTTTTAGAGACAAATGTCACGAAAATAGTTTTACTTGGAAGAGACAGTATTAAACCGTACAACTTGAGATGCTGAGCCAACTACCAGAGAGACGGTATAGTCTAAAGGATGAATGTGAACATCCAGTATACCATAGTTCATCGTTGTGCAATATGACAAATAAATAATCTAACGTGATATCATACTTCGCTACAATCTGCTACAACAGTTAATCGATAAGAATGAAATACTGCCTTAACACTCATTACTGACAAGACAACTTTAGTTGGAGGCATTATCGACGTCTAGTGTTGAAGCAAATAACACTACAATATTATAGTCCAAATACTTCATAGCGCATATCCAGTCAGCGCTTACATAGATCATCATCATTATCATTATTATTCTTTTTTTCCAAGTAAGTCACTGTGCGACTGAAATGAGTAATTCCAACGTTTCGTTCGGCAATCTGGTCCGAACTTCGTATTTTCACTCTCCGTTGTCTGCAACAGAATAATGCATATCCTAAATCCGTAGCTGTCGAGTCACCTGACAACTCCAGTAGGTCGAATAAAGCAGCTCAATCTTCAGAAAGAAGACAAAGCAATAAATCCGACAAGGTGCTTCCACTAAACTCTAATCCTAAACACCATAATTTTGAAAATACGTCTCATCATAAAATTCTAGATTCTAACAGTTTGAACAGACATGAAGGTGTGATGTTAGCTGATGCATAGGAAATCCTTATTAATAAATAAAAAATGGATATGTATCACTAATTATTAATACTTGGTCAAAATTCCCGACTGTCCATATCTTCTTATGGAAACGTTAAGAAATGTTTTACAACTGTTTACCCACACACACACACATACACACTCTGTTTAAAGTGTTTAACAAAGATAGACCAATATTTGTAAGTCCGAGGTCAAATTTTGATCACAGCTCATAAAATTTTGTTCATTATACTTGTTGAATGACTCATGATTGGACAAAGTTTTTAAAAACAAGTGATGTTCTCTTTTTATATATAAACCTCTGTTATGTTAATTTCGATTAATTTCCCTGAAGAAGTTCGGACCAGATTGCCGAACGAAACGTTGAAATTACTCATTTCAATCTCGCTGAGACTTTACAAATATAATTTTTTACAAATGTCTACTTCTCACTCGGCGCCCAAATATTTTAGAACTATTCTGTCAAATCTTGACGACAGTTCATTTGATGAATAAGTCACTGTGCTTCAGTGGAAATAATATACTGTGGCTACCATCTCGTTTGATTTTTTTTAACGAACTTAGTATTCCTTGTTTGCTTTGCCACTGCTGACTGCAACGAAACTTAGTGAATCATTTATGTTTATCTTGAAAAAGTGGGAAAAGAAAAACATGGGTGAAAAAATCAATAAAAGTTTCCTAGTCAAGAATTCATCCGATAATTAAGCAATGATGAAACGATAACAAAGTTGTATGCTTGAAACAATCTCAATTGAGGAATACGACCCGTAAAGAAATCCTTAGCTAGGAGGATAATTAGGCAGACGGATAGGCCAGGAGATCGATAATAGACAAGTTGTTGTTGAGATAAACAAATATTTAAAGAAGTCGAAGAGCAACTACAAAAAGAAGGTGAGATGCAAGGAAAGGGGTAATTAAAGTTGATGCAAGAGAGAGGTAACGTTTTTTCTCCCTTCATTTTCATTACAGTCATCATTAACAACAACAACAACAACAGCAACACAGAAAAGAGAAAAAACAACTTCAGAAAAAAAGAAGAAGGAGAAGCATTTTCTAAAGCACAATTCTACTTAAATTCCCTCTTCTTTTTCTTCTTCTTCATTATTGTTGTTGTCGTTGTTCTCATCATTATATTACTGAAGACTTTATTCAGTTCAATAAAAACCTAATTGAGCTGAGGTGAATTTCCAAATTAGATTAGGAATTGCTGTAAATATCTTCAGGATTGCCTCTTCTTCTTCTCTTCTTCTATTTCCCTCATCCCCTCCCCACGTCTTCGTTTCTTTTTCCACTACTTGTTTAGCTAATGAATAGCCAAATCATAAAAAGAAGGAGGTAGAGGTGAAAATAGTTGTTGATAGAAGTTAAGTTCTCCCAATAGTGAATAATTTGTATTATTTTGTACTAAATGAACTACCCTAAGGGCAATTACATTATACATATATACACATACACGAATGCATATATATATTAGAAACCATACAGAGTCACATAAATATATAAACATTAGCACGCACACACACACACACATACACTCATATACACAAACATTTAAATAACACACACCCAACAGCAGACATGGCTTAGTCTAATTTCTTTTCTATTTTATTGAAGATAATGATTAGCCGGAAAAAGAGATGTACAAAAAACTGAATATAAATAAACACGTACATACTATTGATATTTTTTGTTTAATAATGAAATAAATTTTATTTTCCTTTTCATTAAACATACTGGGGATAGATTTTCAAAAGGTAAAGAATACTGATCATTGCTTATAAGTAACATGGTCAACATGATCTTGTGTATTTGACCTAATATTATTGAATCAAAGGTCTACTGTTGTTACTTGTGTCATCACAGTGGCTGTAATACTTTTTCTAATGAAATTTTTCTCTTCATAGTGTGTAACCATTAAGTTAAGTGAATGATTTAAAGATGAAAATCACTGTTTAATTGCATATGACTACTGAACTAATGTAGATTAGGCGTAAACCATGGTTTTCAAGAGTTAGTTTATTAGGATTTGATTTGTTACAGGATTTCATCATGAGCTGATATTAGTTAGAGAGCCATTGGAAAAGCTGGGAGTACTGGACAACTGTTTCGTCCTAGTTTGGGACTCTTCATCAGTACTCACCCACCGGGGTTCGAACCCAGGACCTTCTGATTGAAAGGCGAGCTCATGGACTGATTATTTCCACTGACTGGCTAAAGGACGAGGCTGCCACCAGTGGATTTCATTAGGTCGAATGTGAGGACATTGACTGGTGGTCACGATAAAGTCAAAAATTGACAGAAGCTGTAATTCATGGGTCACTGAATCCCAGCCCAGGTGGCTGCATGGTCAACGAGCCCAGCCTCGTAGCATGAAGGTTTTGGCTTCGATCTCTCGTGGAGTCATGGGTGATTACTAACGAAGAATCTCAAACTAGAGAAAAACGGCCGCCCAATACTCCCTCCTTTTTCAATAGTTCGCTAACTAACATCAATCCATGATCAAACTTGAAATAAACCAAAATGTTTACGCAGAAATAATGACCTAATCATCAGTTGTGTCTCGTAGATCAGTTAGTAGAGAGTAGGACGAATAATTCAGACGCCGCTGGTTTAGATTTGTGAAGTATATTTGTAAACACTTTGATTTATAGATTAATATACCAATGAAAAGTACGAGAAGCAATCGTTGAGTGACTCAGAAAGTATTACGAATTCAGTTTAATCATCTTCCAGGATAAATAAAGTTTTATAAATTGACCCGTTAATGATGAATAATTCAGTTATCTATCAGTTGGTATGTGATTCAACTAACGCAACTCTACACTGTAGTGTAGATGCTAGAAGTGAATCTTTTGGGAAACGCAGATATTAGTTTCGTTCCGAATGACACCAATTTCTATTACTAGACAAAATCTTGAGAAAGTGGCACCTTTTCCTTATCTAGATAAAATTGTCTCAATTGCAGATAGTACAGATGACGACAACAAAGCCACACACAATCGAGAAAACCAAGACAGACATTCATTCACCCACAAACCAGTGTACAAGTCTGCCTCACTCAACATATAAAACGAAATTCCGATTTTCAACATTAATGTCATGTCAGCGTCTGCTTCTAAATGCTCCGGCGGTTTGACGCAGCAGCTACCAAAACCATCTCAAGCAGGAGACTGAGGACTCCCATCAACTACTGTCATCACTCCATGCTAACACATTAGTTGAACATAGAGAATGGGCTACGAGGAAGTCCACCAACCTACCAACCAACTAATCAATCAATCAAACAACTGACCGACCAACCAACCAGAAATCTACTGACCAACAAATATCTCGAAGAAAACGAAGCTGGAATAGACACACACACTGAGGAGACCGTTGACTGACACTCAAGTGGAAGCCGAATGGGCAGCGACGAGTAGGGTGTGGGTCTGAAGGTGACATGGGTAAGATCGTGTGAGAATGACATGGAAGCTTATGGGCGGCTTTGGAGCCAGGTTTAAAAAGGACTGCAGAAAACAAAGTGGTATGGAAATCTGATGTTGAAACGATGTGTGTGAAACACATCGGAGCTCAGGAGAATAATAATTAATAATGGCATTAAACCTTATGGAGTCTCTACAACTATAAGATAAATGCTATTTACCTGCGTAAGTCTAAGCTGCTTCAGTAATTGTGATCTAAGTCACAAAGGACGCCGAATGGGATTTATTGGTGTGCATGAATTACCACCCTTGTTTAGTTGCTATATTTTGATAAACTAGTTGTTATCAAAATTAATCGTCAGCTGAAATAATCGTCAGCTGGCAAAACAATGCACTGCTCCACACAACAGTATCTATGCACTAAGCTTACATACCGTTCTGTGCATATTACTGATACACTTTATGTGAACTAACATATCTTATTGGTTAGGGTGAGATACACCTTTATAGCAGCAAAATAACTCGATGACATGATTAGTAGATATCTGTATTAATTGTATTGTAAGTAATTTTTGGCATTTATGGCTATACATTAAAATACAGTCAAATCTACTCCGAATTCAGATACTATCGAATACTTGGGTGTTATCATTTGTAAATTTAGTTCAAATATTTTATTATTACATAAGTTAGGATCGAGACACAAAAATACAAATTTCCGACGACTGATTTTTTTATAAATTAACTAGAATTTTCAAGATTTACTTGACTAACAATCCTGTTGACGAAATCGGTGTTTTATTTTCTTTTTCCATACAAGAGGACTATAGTTTTTGCGGAGACATTTTAACGCCCTAGATGATGCAATACACTAATCGGTTGAATAATTCACTCTGAACATCTTTTTTTTGTTGTTGTTGTTTTAAATGGTGAAAATTATTCTGATGCTCGCTAGTGACTTGCTACAGGTTGGAGCTTCCTGCAGTTCTAGTGGGAAGTCGTGACCAGTGAGGTCCAATTAGAAGTCACGTGTGTGGATGGATTTCCCACCAACGACAATAGTTGGGGTCGCGCTAAAATCACGAATTGGTAGAAGTTAGAATTCATGAGCCATTGAAACGGGTCCCAGTGGCTGAATGGTATACGAGCTTGCCTTGTAACCGGAAGGTCCTGGGTTCGAATCCCAGTGGGTGCGTACTTCCGATGATTCCCAAACTAGGATGAAACAGCAGCTGTCCAGTACTCCCTGGTTTTCAATGGTTCTCTAACTGATATCAGTCCGTGACCAACTCGTAAAACATAACTAATCCTTAAAAACCAAATTATAGAAAATGATGAAATATTGTCAAAAGATGACCTGAAGTTTTCTTCATTATCAGATTATTCAATAGGAATGTTTCATTCCTTTTTCACTAAAGCAGCTAACAAATTAATTGACTAGTGCAAAAAAGGAAGTTGAAGGTAATTTGTTCTACTGAGCTCCGCCTTGTCTCTATAACCTTTTTACATTTCTTTTCTTTTTTATTATAAGAATTTTAGAAAAGTGGATGAGGTTAAAGAACATCAACAATTTTCTCCTTGGAGTGGTCTTGTTCTTTTCTTTTTTATTTAGCAAAATGACTAACACTAACAAAACGTTTTAATGAATTACTTTTTTTGTTACCATAAAAGTGAATTAAAATTGGGTGTGCCTTCATGTTGTGTTTCTTCTTTATACACAGTGTCAATTAAACGCCTCATTAAAGTTACATAAGAACATAGTGAAGTAGTTTTAATTAGAAATAGCCTTATTTGTAAGCTGGTGGCAAAATTAAAGTTGGAACTTACATCTACGCTAAGGTAGAAATCAAACTAGTAGCTTATAAAGCCTATCATATCAAGACTGTATTATCAGGCAATGCATTTCAACACGGAATTGTCATGAATTGTCTATTCACTTATATTAAAATAATTAATAATGTTTCCACATGCACTAAGCAGAACTAATTTTGGCGAATAGAACTTTAAGCGTTCTACCAAAGGATACCTAAGCTTCAGCAATAATGCAGACAGATGCAAGTACTAACATTCATATGGACTATCAGTCATTTGGAGTATGCTTTAACTTATTGGTGCTCAGAGAACAAGTGCCGAATAATTTTATTCAATTTTTTGGTGTCTTTCATTGATTGTTGCATGATATCATGGAAAGATTGTTGTAAGTACCTCACTAAAATAATTTTTTGCTGTTTTGAACACTTGGCAAAATAAGCTGCATTACTGTGTCAGTTGATTTATGTAACACACATAAAGAACAAAAAACAAATACCAGGCAACACAACCTTCAAAAACTATTATTATATTATTATTCCCATGGGAACCAAGTGAAACTAGTGGTTTCGACACCACATCTCCATATCACACTATTCTCCTTAGTCTTCTTTAGCTGGCTCAATGACTGCCCATAAGCTTTCATCTCATTCTCACACGATATTACCCATGTCACCTCCAGACTCACACCCAACTCATCCCTTCCCACTCCACTTCCACTCGAGTGTTTGGCTGGCGCATGATGTCACTCAACGGTCTCCTCAGTGTGTGTGTCTATTCCAGCTCCGTTTTTTCTTCGAGATATTTGTTGGTCAGTAGGTTTCTGGTTGGTCGGTCAAGTTGGTTGATTGGTTGGTTGGTTGGTAGGTTGGTGGACTTCCTCGTAGCCCATTCTCTCTGTTCATCTAATGTGTTAGCATGGAGTGATGACAGTAGTTGATGGTAGTCCTCAGTCTCCTGCTTGAGATGGTTTTGGTAGCTGTCGCGTCAAGTCACCGGACCATATAGAAGGAGACGCTGACTTGACATTAATGTTGAGAATTGGAATTTCGTTTTATGTGTTGAGTGAGGCAGACTTGTATACTGGTTTGTGGGTGAATGAATGTCTGTCTTGGTTTTCTGATCGTGTGTGGATTTGTTGTCGTCGTCCATGCCACTTGTGATTGAAAGGAATTTTCCCAAATAAGTAAAAGAAATGATCTCCTCTAATTTTCTCCCGTTGATAGTGATCTGTGTTTCTTGATGTTCATCAGCTGTCCTTATCAACTCCGTCTTCTATACATTCACCTGAGATCCTGTATTTGTTACCAGCCTCTTCTACAAACATTTTGGTTTTCGCCTGTAAATCCTCCAGTTTTTGTGACACTAGATATAAATCGTCTCCTAGTTTTCTAACCGGTCATGACCGCGAAAGACGGGGAAGGTTTGGCGTGGGAACAGCGATCTTACCCCGGATGATCAACCCAATCGCTACAAAAACTTCTAAGCATAGCCTTCTAAAATGTAGGACATTAATAAATGTTGAGGTAGTAGCATATGAATGAAAACATCTCCTTCTAATAGTGTGATTATTTCAACAGCGAGAAAGTCGACAAATAGGAAGTAATTTATATCTTACCTTAGTTGTTGTCTTGTACTGATAAAAGAATGACGTGGGAACACCATACCGGGACTGGAATTGATTGGCAGTGGTAAAGGATTTCCCAAATACATATCATCTAACCACCATTCCGTAACCTTTATGTATGTTTTAAAAAAATAATTAAAATAAGATAACTGAGCATAACACTTTGTGAGTTAGCAATTCAATGCAATGTGTAAAGCAAGTGAATACTTTTCTATAATAATGACTTTGGTGAAACACTTTATTTTATAGACGTACGCCACTGAAACAAGCACAAAAGCCTAAACAATAGCAGATGACTATTTCCTTTTATTTTTGTCACTAGTTATTCCTCTGCTTACCATGGAAGAGAAAATAAATAAGTGAACAGGTGATCTGTTGTAAAGCAATTTACGTGTGTACGTTGGTGTGTCTATGTATGTCTTTTGCGTAAGCGAAGGCGAATACGGATAGTTTGCTTATGGGAATAGTTACAGGTGCTGTTAACATTCCCCATCATCACCATTATCAATATCATTACGTCGGGTAGACGACATCTTTTAAGCTCCTCTCTTTTCTTTGTATTTTACTCATAATGAACAACACAAGCAATAAAAACTTAAGTAAAGTATAATAAAATAAAGAGAGAAAAAAGATGATTAGTAAGAGGTAAAACTAGGGGTGGAAAATAAAATTGACAGAAAATTTAGTCATTCTGTAACAATGAGACGAAAAACGGTGGATAAAGAGAAAACAAAAAACTTGATATGATACATACAGGCTGTTCTTGAATGCTTTATTCTAAGAAATGTGAATTGCCTATATCTCTTTTATTTTTCGTGAAGAGTGAAAAAGTATTTCCTATGTAGAAATAATTTCATCGGATGAGGGGTGATGTAATTTCCCAATAAACTAGCTAATACAATTGTGTGCATATGCATATATGCATGAAGATGGACAGGTTTTAGGCTAAAATATTAATAGGTTTTCTGTACACTGGACAAATTACTATTAACTGGGGATATTTTGAAATGAGCGAAGTTGTTGAAGGGACAAATTAATTACAGTTGCATTTCAGCAGTTTACAGACAATGATGAGTTTCTCATTTTGGCAATGTTTGAAGCAAAATTACTGCTCGTGATCACACCAACTGTTGAAATTGTTGAAGGGAATTTTCATTCTTCAGAATTCCATTCAAAGAATTAGAAGGTATTTACATGACTGAAATAAAGTCAATTTTCGATTGTTAATTGAGACGAATAAAAACCTTTTTATCTTTTGTTGTTTTACTTGTCGAATTCGTAGAAATTCAGATTCCTCAAGGTGATCGTCGAATGACATACTGAAAACAAGTCAGAGTGAATATATTTATTCTTTCAGTAAAGCAGATTGTCGAGAAATTCTGTGTGAAGAAGGCATATCCTGCTTTTTTTTATGACCTCGTGTCAAAGATAAAGTTCAAGTTGTATAAACTTCTGTTTTAAATCGACGATCTACACGCGGTTTTTTGGCTTTCATTTGAATCAAAAGCAGTATTTCATTGGATAACTGCGTCTACTGTAGCAAATAATACTGTGGTATTAGATTTAATAAGCAGCACAGTTAGAGACTGGTTGGAATACCGCAAAGATGTATGTTTAAACTATGCGTAACTTTGATGTTACAAATGCTAACCAGCATTCAGTCGTCAACATACATAAATTTACGGTCAGAAGTCGCAAATATAAGCAACTTTAGAGTGAATGTATGTATGTATTGTCTATTTTACTTATAGTGAAAAACTTCTTTGTACACATGTAGGAAATACTAATGTAGGTCATACAGAAGAGGCTAAGATTAGGAAATTACTGGAAGAAATAATTATTTATAATGGAAATTGGAAATTGTAGAAATACTGAAAAAGAGGTGTCCTGTTGTCGTCACAGATGGTTGGGGACGATCAGCAAGAAGCTTTGATCATAGAATTCAGTCTGCACCAAAGAGAGGATTAGACGCATCACACTAGTTACTAGTGTCAAATCAAAATAGCTTTGATTATTGTTGTACTCAGTGTAAAGTTTTTGAAGCGTAGACGTCTAGCAGACATACAGATAAGTTCATTTACCTTTTAATATCATTTTTCTGTTTACTCTGTTGACTGTGAATGGCTGTTTTAACTGTGCGTATGTATAGTGTTTACATTTATCAAGTGACTCGCTTACAATGGTACTGGTTCGTCACTCTACTAGGCTTTTGTATTGACTGAGGAAATTTCTAGCACATTACCATGCGCACATTGATTCTTACAAATCTTTATATGAGCAGAAAACAAATCCAACTACCGTAGGATATAATGTAAATGATCCTAACCATCATTTTCATTATATTTATCTTCTGATTATAATATTTCGGTTTTCTATAAGTATGTGCTGGGTTACAACCCCTAAACCTGATGAAAACATTCCAGAAATTCGGTGAACGGAATCTGTGTGAAGTGTGTTATTCTGTGACTGGATTGCACAAAATGGCTGAAGTGGTGTAGGTTCAAATTAAAAATTGGTAGTTATTAAGACTGGATGAAAAAGACGGGCTAGAGTGGAAGATATTTTATTGGAAATAATCTAAAAATAGGACACAATATTTCTCATGTACCTTTACACCTTAAAAAGAATTGTATTAAGTGGAAATCCTATTCATGCATTTAAAGCGTTGCATTTAGAATTTAACATACCCAATTAACTTTCGTTGCAGCATACTCTTTGAGTAGATTTTGCAACTCTTCACCTTCACCACCTGGTTTACCGAATTCATCAACTAACAGCTTTGTTCGTTCAAAATCTTCTTTAGAGACAACCGGTGCTATTAGTCGTAAATATCTGTCCAGGGTGTTACGCAAATTCGGAACAGGTAATCTAGGAAGTGGTTTCTAGATACAGAAAATATGCATAAAAAGAGGTAATATAAGCGTTGATATGTTTCCTACTATATAGAAAAAATCATAAATAAGAACAAAGGAATAATTATTGCAAATACAATAATTTGTAGGATTTCATCATGAGCTGACATTGGTTAGAGAACCATTGGAAAACATGCAGGGAGTACTGAACGAATGTTTCGTCCTAGTTTGAGACTCTTCATCGGTACACACCCAACGGGGTTTGAACCCAGGACCTTCTGGTTACAAGGCGAGCTCGTAATATATAGTTTTCATATTATCCATAGGACTAACAAAAACATAACAAAATCATGGTTTCTGACCTCTCTACTTGTGAGTAGTGTCAAGTCATGAATTATTCAGAAAAGACTGGAAACCTTGTTATTGCATCTTCCATGATGTGGAAGTGAAACGGTTGAACACAGCGAATGGTATCTTATCTAATGGAATTTTTTTGGTGAGATTTAGTAAGATGAATTATCCAAATACTTCAAGTTGCCTTTTTCAAGAATACAATTCATTAGGTTTCCGATGGAACTGTGTAAATGGACGTCAAAACAAATGTCAGTTAAGTTCCGTTCTATTAGGTGGATGATAGCATGGTCACTAGATCACGACTGGAGAGGCTCAAACCAGGAGAAATCGGGGATTTAGTTTCTTTTTCAATAGAACTTTTTGATGATGTAATTACAAGTCGAAGTCGACATTTGAATATGAGTAAATGGACGATGCAGAACTTAAAAATCACTCATCTCAAGACAGTTGCTTAACCTAAATAATATTGAAACACTCACCGGAGATACAAAATACTTACTTCTTGAAAAAATAACTCTATCTTGACCTGAAATTATGCACAGATATGTTTTGTCATGCAAAATTATTCATAACCATTTTTGTTAACAAGAGCTTTTCAAATAATAGTGAACCTTAGGAAAATTGCCTGAACTTCTAATGTTTAAAGCAGGTGAATTTGTCAGTTTTGAAGCTGCCATCAGTGCCATTCTATTCTGTGTTTAGGAATAAATAGAGTTTATTTCACCGATTCTTCAAATACACGTTCTGGTTAACTGTTTATATATTCAAATGGAGAGAGAAAGTTGGAGTACACTGTCGCTATAGGGAGAAAATGTTGCGTTACCTTTTAGTCGATTAGTAATGATGTTTTTGGTTACTGTGTTACTTCTTTCTGGAACTAACAAATCACCAACTCTCCAGGGATCAACAATACGACTGTTAGGCGACAGGGGAAAGTGCGTCACCACTCTACAATGAGACTGAAAGTCAATTAACTATAAGTTAGAATTTCTGTCTCTATCTACTGACTTTCTGAAGTTCCCAGTTTCAAAATAACTCCATTAATAATAGCCAACTTTTGACGTTAATGCCGATTGAAGTCAAATTTTTCATTCTTGTTTTTCTCTGACTGTCAGGAGTTGATTCATTTCAAGTTTTCCCTTGGTGTATGAAACTATTTTGCGATGTAAATTTTGATATCTAGTTACCGAAAAATTGATTAAGATTTGACTAGTCCGATATTTTGTGCTCAAAGAAGTCTACGCTTAACTGTCTTTTATTTTCCATGTTATTCTGACTCAAATTTGATGTTTAAGCCCAGAAATGTACTTTTCCTAACTAGATAAGCCAGCAAGTTTTGTATTACTTCGATAGTAGTGACCTGTCTTCTTCATCTGTCAACTTCCTACTAAAAATTTACCTTTTATTTTGACAAAGTTATTAGTGTGTGATGCGACAAGATAAAACCCTAACCTGAGACTTTTCAAAGTTAAATTTTATACACTAAACTGTGATTCTTGCAATCAATATTATTTCAAAGATAAAATAACCAACAGGCATAAATTTCATTGTGTACATAACCAGCCAAACAGAATAAACATTAAGGAAGAGTCGGAAATTTGACTTACTGATAAATCCCATTCTGGATACTGTTCAATATCAAGATTAGATAGTCTTCTAACGAATTCTTTTATTGGATGGGACATTTAACTGGCTAAAATAGTAAGAAGGATGAAAAAGCCAAATGAATGTTTACAAAAATTAAGTCAGTTGATTGTATAGGCACAGTGCCAAAAAGAATAAAATTTCTATATTTCTATATTTATTAGCTATTCAGTGTTCAGTGAATGACAGCCTTCATACTTTTATTCCTTTACGTTCCCAGTGGAACACAGGGCTTCAAGCTAGAGGCTTGAAGTTTCTGTAGCTAGGGTTGCTAGACTCATGCCCAACCTTCTTTCTTTACCAGTTTTGTCTCTGGCTTAGCGAGGTAAAGGAGTGCGTCGGTGGCCGGGGATCGAACCCCGGATCACTTGCGTGGTTGGCGAGCATTCTGTCATTGTCCTATGACGCACAGTGACAACCTTAACTAATACTTCTATCATTATCACTACTTATCTTCAGGCTCTTAATTCTACCATCAAAAAATGTGATATTCTCGCATCTTTTCTGATTGGGATAATGTAATATGCTTTTCTTAATACCTTAGTACATTTTCACTTGCCTGACTGATTCATTTCTGTGCTTGTTAAAATCTACACTACTACTTGTAGTCAGATTTATTCCAGTGTCATTAGAAGTCACAACTTTTTCCCAATCAAATTAGCATAGAACTATGGAACCACGCAGCATGTCATACGTCTGTTTGTGACATGAATAGAGTCAAATTTTAAGAGGATCGACTGGGTTGAATCTTTATTCACTAACCTAAACCTATCATTGGGGATTAATCACCTTGGTAATACAAGTGAAAATATTGTACGACCGATAATGAAAATATCACCATTATCTATTCTATACCACAAAGATATTGTGTCACTACCTGTCACTTATAATTTACTAAAGTGAAAATATATCACTTGTCGTAAACAATTGTACCTAATTTATGATTCTTCACTGATACGAATCATTAGTCACAGCTTGTAGGCGGAAACCTCAGCTGAAGTCAATTCTACTTGACATGGAGAAGCAACTGCAAAAACGTTCAAGTAACTCAGTTGGTTTAGTGACTACATCAGGAGGTCTATTATTAGAAAAAAAATTTTGAGTTTCCATCTGGTGAAGGAGAAAGTTTAAGCTACTAAGTACTTAACTCACAGCACCATCCATGTTGATATGCTTTATGTAAATAAACGTCAGTAATAACAACACAACATCAGCCACACCAGCAACAACATATCACACCAGATAAAGAAGAAGCTACTCATCTTTTATACAGTAGTATATTTATTTTTTTAAATTATAATCCTCAAATGAATACAACTCAGACACATACACGTACATCTTTATATTGTTCATAATGAAGTGAAACACAAGGAAATAAAAATTGGATAAATTGATTGCTAATTAATTAATTAATTATTGAGAGAAGGAAACCACTGAAGTTTACTTTCACTTCTTCCATGTGTTTATCACATCACTTTTATATTTGTATAAACATTCGAAACATTAAACATTCAATAATAAATTAAAAACTTGATAAAATAAAATAAGTGTTCTCCTTTAGAGGCATCTTCAGTTCAAGCGGCTTGGTTACACGTAATAATTCGTTTTCAATTAATTATCTCTTGATTAGTATTTAAATCAACTGAAGTGTGAAGGATAAGTTCAGAAGAGAGAAAAGGAGAGAGAGATAGAGCGAAAGCATAAGCAAAAGGACAATGAAATTTTTGACATTTTGACGAAATAAATTTTGAAAGGATATTTGGACGTTGATTAGGCAGTTTTTGTTTTCTTCTCTTCATGTATTTCATATATATAGATCACAGTGTTTTGTGTTGCACTATTCCTGAACAACTTTCCTCAAAGTGTTCGTAGATCACCGTTGATAAATAGTATAAATATAGGCGTATTTATTGTTATTATCATTATTATTATAATTATAGTGAAGTAGATTTTAGCAAGACATCGATACATTATTATTAATATTGATCACACTTGCTTAAAATAACTCGCAGTTTCACACTTCAATTTTGCACATTCAATAGGCATAATCTGGTCGTTGAGTTATAAGTTTATTGTCTATATCAGTATTATTTCTATTGGTATTTCCATAACTTGCTGCTGATTGATAATTATATTGATTTTTAGGATTAATGAAATGATGGTTAGCTTCACCTTTAATAGTTGAATATTCTTCATAGCCTGGATAATTTATTGATGAAGTCAACTCATCTGGTTGATGTGAATCTTCCACAGAGTCAGTCTTCAATGATGGTGTTTCTTGAATTTTCGGTCTTTCAACATTATAACAGTTGCGAAGTAGATACATAACAGGTACATAGCCTAATGTTATCGCTGTCATGATAATATTAAGCCCAAGAAATTTAATTGTATCCACCAGACTACCAGCAACAATTGGCCCTAATGCATAAGCTAAACTGTACGAGATATCAGCTATTGCATACACAGATCCATACACGGAAACATGACGTGTATCTACTAGGAAACCCATTGTTGGTAATATCGCTGTATCGACTAATGCAATTCCATAGCACAGTATACTGATAGGAATCATTAATGCAATAAAATTAGTACAGAATGGTATCAAGAAACAACTCCCACCTTCAATTGCTAAACCAACTGCAGCCATTAACCACTGTTTACTTGGATATTTATCAGCCAGTTTAACTGTTGTTACAACTCCAGCTAAATGTGGTAAAAATGCAGGCAGCCATACTAAACCTTCTTGAGCATTTGTAGCGTTCATACTGTTTGACATCCATGTTGATATGGTGGGTTCTAAGAAGGCGAGTGAAACATTAGCTACTGTAAGACATCCTGCACAAATAGCAATATATGGATCCATTAATAGTCGATGGATAGGAGTTCCTTTAGGTAAATTTCCTTGAGTTTTTAAAATTGTTCTTTCTATTCTAACTGGCTGCATAATGATCAGTAATAGACAACCGTCGAAAAGTGCTATGAATGCAAGTGTTATAAATGGTAATTCTTTTCCAAAGTATTGATAAACTATCCCACCAAATGGAGGAGCAACTAAGGAGCCAAACGAAATAAATGCCAGTGCTATTCCCAATGCTTTTGTACGCTCATATTCATCAGTGTATCTATCGGCTATCATAGCTAAGCCAGCGGTATCTGCAAAAGCTGAACCCATGCCCTGAAGTCCTCTTGCGATAAACATTAAACCATAAGAACTTCCAAATGCAAACACAGATGTTGATAGAAAAATAATGCATAAACCAAACATCATAGGAACATCATAGCCTATTCGATCGATAACAGTTCCTGATATTGGATTGCACAGTAGTTGTACAATAGCCTTAAATGCAAATAATGTACCGATTTTAGTTTCCGACTGATGTACAAGCCATTTAAGCTTGTAATCACCATTTGATGTGTTAAACACAAAGTTATTGTCCTTCAGTCTTTCTGTATATGTACCATTGGTCCAGTAGATTTGTTTTGTATCCATTGCACGTAGATTTTGAAGATAATCAGGGATAATTGGTACAATCACCATGTATAGCATATTATCCAATAGTAATGCTATGCAGACAACAAAAAGAACCATTCGACGTTGCGAATTCGGTTCATTGATTTTTGACATAAATGTTTCTTTATAAGTCTGGAAATTTGTCATGATTTTTCTGAAAGAGAATAATAACATTAATTATATTAACAAAAAGAAGAATACGAGGAATGACCAGGATAATGTTAAACTGACAGTCTTTGTTTAGAACTTTACAGAAACAGATAGTGATAGTCTCAGTAATTTCATGGTTTGAGTTTCAGCAGGAATGCAGATGCCACGACAGCTGGAAACATACTTCCTGGATTCCACTGCTAGCCACCATTATCCAATAGCCTCCTAAGATATTAGCTACATTCATCTTCGTTGTTGAAGACTGATACCGCTAAGTTGCCCGTTTTTATAAAAGCACATCATAACTGGCACCTTTTTACATTCCAGTGCTCAAGAAAGCCTCAAACTGAAAGACCTGTTTTCCTTTCCATTTGAAAGCTTGGTTGGTTAAAGACTTAAGGCAGAAAGAGTGCCTGTTGATGACATGTTGGCATGTCAGCTTATTGTGGAAAGGTGGGGGGTTTCTGTCGTTGTGTCGAAATTGTAGGAAACTGTGAACTCCTTGGATAGTGGGTTGACCTAGCCTGACTGACGGTGGTAATCTTTACATGTTGGTTGAGAGTGTTTATGTTCCAGCTGTACTGTGCTGAAGTGTTGCTGTTATAAGATGAAAATAATAATTGGAGGGTGGTATTTTCTACGAAAATGGTTTATTTCTTCTGATAGCTGTTATTCTTTTTGACATAGTTCCATTTTATGAGGACTTCATTAATTACACTGGTTACTAGGACTTTTTGCGGCTGTTTAGCGCAAAGGGATGGTCACTTTCAGTCAGCGATAATCACACGGTACATAAAACTAATATAAAAAGTAATTAAAAGTATGAAATTTATATTTAGATGGGTAACGTGAACGCACGCTGCCTCCTTAATGCTTACTCTTCTTTCTGATAATCACTATATATATAGGTCCAGGGAACTTTTTATGGAATTGCCATAGATTGTAGAAAATTAATAAACATTATCTTGGGACATACTTACGACAGAGTTTCGGACAGTAAAATTTCAATAAAACCGTTCACTGTCACTCATAACAATAAAAAATCCTCCTGGTTATTGCTTTCAGAATATTTTAGGCTTAACAAAGGAGTGTTGATGAACATCTCTGAAAACACCTAAATCAATTTCGAATCGAATGATGAGTAAAGTATAGGTGGTGATTAAAGAATTTGTTCTGACAACCACTGATTTAATAAAAGGCTGTGAGTAACATTCATTCAAATAATGGAGAAGATTTGTAGCTCAGGTGAATGATATTGAATTAGTTTTGTTCTCTGAGCTGGTTGATGAATTCATTGCGGAGCTTTCGTCGTCCTTCTAGACGGCATCCCTCTTCAGTGCAGGTTTTAGTGCAAAATGAATTTATTTAGATTCCCTATGAATGATGTAATTGTATCTCCTGGCAACCACCGTTGTGACTGGTTGTTAATTTAAGTCTTTATTGACCAAATTTTTACTGACTTGGAATTCGAACCTTCTTGTCCTCTACGAACCCAGTCCAAGAACACAAATCGGCTGTAAAATGACATGATATACATTCTTTTGTATCAATGCGTGTGGATTATTGTGGATACCAATTTGATTAAGATAATGTAAAAATTTTAAACAGATGAAACACCAGAAATACTGCCAGAAAATTCCTAGAAGCCTGGTACTCAGGTGAATCAGCCAGCGATTAGCAAACACATTATTATAGATCAAATTTACCAGCTAATAAAAAGTAAATTACGTGACAAGAAACCTCGGATTCCAGCTCAATAAAAAGGATCAATAGAGACGTATATTAACAACCATTCACGACAGTGGCCGTCAGGAGATACAATTACATCATTCATGATGAATTCAAATAAGTTCATTTTATAATAAAACCTGCTCTGAAGGGGGATGTTGTCTAGAAGGACGACGAAAACTTCGTTGTTGAATCAACTAGCTCACAGAACACAACTAATTCAGTAACTTCCATTCATTTGAGAAATTCTACTGTTTAATATGTATATGTGCTTGCATTATATTGAAAATTAAATAACACTGGTTTCCGTGTGATTATCATTTATATTATTAGCATTTATTGAAATCTAGTAGTCATATATTAATTACAGTTTTGATCACGAGCTGACATCAGTTGGAGGATCATTAGAAAACCAGGGAGTAGTGGGCAGTTTTGCGACAGAACTTGGAGTTCATGAACCTTTACGTCTGCTTCCCAGTAGCTGAATGGTCAACGAACTCGTCTTATAATTAGAAGGCCTATGGTTCGAACCCCTGTAGGTCCATAATTATTGAAACTCCGATACTAGAACTAAACAGTGATCAAAGATGGTGATCAAAGCCATAACCAATCAAAGCCTTGCAAAGCAACACTCAATTATTAGTGTCAGTTTTACTAGTAGCTATACCATTGTGGTGAGAGCTGTCTACTAGCCAAATTGGTAGACAGTAATTTACGTCAATGTTTGCGTTCTCAAGATTGGTCATGAGAAAATAGGAACAAAGACTGATTCAAAAGCGACCACAGCAGACTTTGCGTAGGCGGATACAGTTAACATATAGATGATCTGTTGCCTGTCCCTGGTCTTCTGTTGTTACATTTGGTGTCGCTGCCTACCGACAAATGGAAAGCCTATGCCCTGCAGTTTTTGATGGAGACATGTGGATCTTCGGGCAGGACTTCGAGGCTTCTTCGCAGTTGAGTGGCGTTCAAGATCTGTCAGCAATGAGGCTGCTACTTGGGATGCTGCTGGGAGGTCGGGAGAAAGCAGCATATGAAAGTGTGAGGCGAAATACCTACGAATGTGCGACAGGGTCAGGCAAACAGTTTCCAAAGTGGGAAGGACCACATATGGTCACGTTGAGATGGGGTTACGCAGACACAATCGCAATGGTAAACACAGAGAAACAGGTGAACATTCGCAAGTGCCGAGATTCCAGACAGCAAGACAAAAGAGCAAAGCCCTAAGAACCAAGAAAACCGAACCAACTTCAGTCGCAAGTCTTTGATGGGGGCACGAGTGTGGTGAGAGCTGTCTACTAGCCAAATTGGTAGACAGTAATTGACGTCAATGTTTACGTTCTCAAGATTGGTCGTGAGAAAATATGAACAAGACTGATTCAAAACCGACCACAGCAGACTTTGCGTAGGCGGATACAGTTAACATATAGATGATCTGACATTCAAGAAACAGCCACAAAGAGATGGAAGATTAACTTTAAGTGAGAGACAACCAATCAAAAGACTGTGTTTGTTTGCTTAACTAAACTATAATAATGTACATGAAAATATATAAATATGCTTTAATTTCCTTAATAAACGATATGTTGCCTGGCCCTTGTCTTCTGTTGTTACAATAGTACTACTGCAGGCTGGATTCAGCAGAAACAAGTCATGTATTGATCAAATCGTCACACTACGGATCATCATTAAACAAAGCTTGGAATGACAGTCACCTCTCTATCTCAACTTCATCGAATTTAGAAAGGCCTGGCCCTGGTCTTCTGTTGTTACACCATGAAAAATTTCTATGTTCCAAAAATTTAGAGTACTTTGAGTTGATCTCTTTGCTTCAGTCATTTGAATAAAAGCATACAGTAAGATAGAATATAGAGTAGATTGATCAGTTATGCGGTTAACTTCTATTCTATTCCAGTAAACTTTGTAAAAATCTGTCAACCACTGGTTTCACAAATCAAACTTAATTAGTCTATGAATTAATGATAAAATAGTACTCACAATTTAGTGATAAAATATGAAATAGTCTGTTAGCCAACTGTAGTTTACCCTTTCTCAAAATAAAAAAAAATAATTTATGTGTAACTAACTTTACAGCACTAAATGGATATCTTAATTAGTATAACCAAAAGAGAAACAAAAGAGACAAAAAATGTTGACATACTAAGTGCTAATGGAATGTCATTTGTTTCTGGCATTCAAAAGGTTTTGGCATTTTCTGAAATTATTGCTTTGTTGAGGTAGATCAAAGAAGGCATTTCACAGATTGTTCCGTCCACGTTTCAATGATAGAGTGTTGTACATGTATAGCAAAGAAAAATTAATTTGTTTAGATACATAACCGCTAGTTTTTCCTGAGTTTCTTTTCTACGTCAATTACAAAGTGTAGACCATGGCAAAACAGTGGAACGTATCAGTAGAATATACTAAGAATTGGACAGTATCTTGAATATATATATATATATATATATATAGTCTTCATATGAGGGCAGTTATTTACAAAGAATGTATGAAGAAGTAGTAGGAGAGTATATACTACTGACTAATATGAGTAGTTGGAAACCGATGATGTCAAGTTGTAGTGCTTACTAGGCACATCGATGAGTTCTAACCGCCCAAAATGAAATGACGACTACATATGTTACAGAGAAGTGGACAGTTCAAAATACTTATATAAATTTCATCAGAGAAGGAGGCGGAGGCTACAACTGCTGTCTAGCAGCTTATAATTTTTGTTAATCATTAGATTAATGCAACGTCTCTGGGTATTCATTTCACCAGAAATTTGTTGATAACTAAATGACACAGTCAGAAAAAAACATGTATACACTGCAACGATGGATTACAGAATTTATTATCATTTATCTGATTAGAAACAGACATCTTAGAATATTTTTCGCCATAGTTTTAAACACTTTAAAATAATCTACTGAAGTCGCTGTTTACAGTTAACTAGGCCTGTCTCAAAAATATTCATTCCATGCGTGACGAATGTGGTTATGGGTTAAATGAAAATCTCTGTCACGGCATGGTTCAAAACTGTGGCCTATCAATTACTAGTCCGACTGTGTACCACGTAGGCTACGAAACCGGACTGCTAACTAGTTATCATTTCACTGCATGGGTGATGCCCAGTTGTCATGTGAAAGACTCATACGGAACTACCTATTTATTATCACACCCGCTGTCTAGTTAGGTATTCTTCTAACAAACTTAATCATACTTGATTGGGAGAGTGGAGTAGATTATTGATTGATGGTGAGACTGCGATAGCATTGA